GGCAGTGGATGGCTCTGGTTGGCAGCCAAAACACATACGCAGAGACCGGAAGCAATACAAATACAATGCAAAATTACAGTTGTCAAGCACCTTTCACGTTGAGAGGACGTCCCAGGGCGCTGAACAGTCAGGGTCATTAGGTCTCGAGTGGGGGTGCGGGGCTAAAGCAAAGTGTTCAGCGGGACATGGTTGGCTTGCGGGCACGATAGGGGCTGCGGGAGGCAGCACAGAGGGGAGAGAGGAGGAATGGCACTCATGGCTTTATTTGGACAAAAGCCAGAGAGAGAAAGACAGGGTGGCAGAGGAGGAGGTCAGGGAAGAGGTGAGGAATAGAAATTACAGAAGAATACGCTGTGCGGAAGTGTTCGGCCGTTGGTCCAGGCGAGAGATTTTTAAATGTTATCACCGCACTTGGAACACCGAAACCTCAGCCCCTACGCCCGTCACTGCCTGTTGGCTGACCCGAGTCTTCTGCTCTAGCAACTGCGATCTCACCGCTTGCTTGAGACTTGAACCTCACGAAGACCGAGGCCCTCCTGATTGGCTCCTGTCAGCACCTCCACATCTCAGGCACCGGCAGCATCACCGTCCATGGTTCCACACTCGGTTTCCCCGAGCCAGTCCGGAACCTTGGCATCTTGTTTGACCCTCAACTGTCCTTTCTACCCCACATCCTTGCCATGACCCACTCTGCCCTCCCCCACCTCCGCTACATCACCCTGCTCCGCCACTGCCTCTCTCCTCAAGCCACCGAGACCCTCATTCACGCATTTACTACATATAGGCTCGACTGTGCTGACTCCTTGCTTGTCAGCCTTTCCAACTCTTCCCTCCACAAGCTGCAGATCATCCAGAACTCTGCAGCACGTGTTCTCTGTGATCCTATCATCCCCACCCTCGCCCGGTTCTACTGGCTCCCCATAGAGCTCAAAATCCTCATCCTCACCTTCAAAGCCCTCCACGGCCTTGCTCCTTTCTTCCTCTCTGACCTGCTAATGCCATATCAACCTGTCCGGTCCCTCCGCTCAGCAAGCTCCAGCTTGCTCCACATACTCTGCTTGGCCCGCACCACCATCGGCGGTCAGTCCTTCAGCCTTTCTGCCCTTTGGAACTCCATCCCACAGTCCCTTTGCCTTGCTCCCTCTTTGACCGTGCCTTTGGCCACCCTTTTACCTCTACCCTCCCTGTCCTCCACCCCTCCTGATCGGGTCCAAATCCCTGACTATCCAGTGCCTTGGGACGTTCTGCTGAGGTAAAAGGCGCTGTATAAATGTAATGTAATTTGTTTTGTTGAAATGGTAATAGATAATGTTATTTGGTAGCTTTCTATACGTGCAACGATATCACAATCTTTTCTATTTAGAAATCTAAGATTCAACTATGTTTATTTTATCATAACATGTACAATTTTACTTCGGAAAGGCAAGGCCTGTTCTGGTTCAGAACTCTCAAAACTCATGACATCAGCTCTAATTTAGCTGTACTAAGGTATGGTCTTTATGCACTGAGTAACTGGCAATTTAAGCAACAAACGAAGTACAGTACAGGTACACACAATGTGAAATCTACAGCAAATGTATCAGGTGAGACTGTTCTAAGTATTCTCCTCAAAAGTTAATGTTAAAATCACATCACAGTAACTTATTGCTCCATAACTAATTTCCCATTATTCCCTGCAAAAACGTAGCCAAACTGCAGCTCTTTAACTATCTGACTGGAAAGCATACTGCTCAGTTGAATATTCAGTCAAATGCAAAAGTTCAGCTAACTTGTTCTTTTCAAATCCAAACTGCTGCTTTCCTACCGCCAAGTTATTATGTTACAGAGTGTAAACTTTGACATATGTGTCTCTCATTCCTTTGGAAACTTCCTCTGGTTTGTAACAAGGGAGAAATTTCCATTGCTGATGTACTTGAAGTGATTTTGTTTAGCACTTCAGACTTTCCTCTGAGTTGCAGATATTCATGTTTACAAAGCCTGGCTTTCATTGATAAAGGCCTGGAATAGATTATTTGGCTAAAACATCTAATTTCCCTCAGTGGAACATGGGTCAGATCAGATGCTCAGTGCTGCTTCATGTTAAAACTTTAATCCTTTTGAGAGTTGCATGTGTGCCCTTATCTTAATTTTAACATGAAAGTCAATGTAGCTCAAAAAGCTGGTAAGAGACAACAAAGCCATTTCAAAGTTGATCCTCTGCACCTCTTGGTTTATCTCAACTCTGAACATTTCTACCACAAATCAAAAAGCTTCATCTGCAGAGCAACAGATGGATAACCTTATTCTTCCAAAAATAAATTGTTCCAAACAAGATCATCTACATGCTACTCAGAATGACTAAATTAATATTCTGAATATGAAGACATATTCTGAACAGAATCCTTGAAAACTCAACTCACTGAAACGTATGATTTGAGGATGATGCTTAATAATGACTCAAGTAAACGTAAGCACTCCGGGATGCTGCCTTGCGTGAAGGGCGCTATATACATGCAAGTTGTTGTAGAATAGTCTTCTCTTTTGGGATAGTAGTCTTGTTTGAAATACATTTAATTAATGGAAGGACTGTCATTAATAAATGGATATGGAAGCAGCACCAATTCTTTGTGCACATTTGCCAGTAAAAATTTCCTTAAAGATCAATACCTGACTGTTACTCAGGCATTTTAGTTGATATAGTATATCTAATTCAAATAAACAAAGAGCCAAAAATGAACCAAATGCATAAACACAAATTTAATGAAATTTCACTTGGAAAATGTATAACTCAATGTGAATCCAACCAAACACAGCAGTGTAACTAATATCTGCGTAGGGAAGATGCAAATATTTCTTATTTGATATAAAAATATTTTGTGGTACATGCCTTTCTGAACCCCACTGGATCTGTCATGAGCTAAATTGAGACAATACACCTAACTACCTTGGCTCAGTGAAATACTCAAACAATTGCAGTATAAATGATTTGATCATGACCAGATGTTCAGCGATAGACTACCCAAAGAAGTGTACTCACTGCAGTCACAACACAGGAAAAGCAGCGGAGGAAAAAGACCTAGAACCAACTGCAACAATAAGTGGTCACAAGATTCTGAAACTGTGCTGAGCTTTATTTTTATTTAAAACAAGAAAAATGCCTGAATTAAATGTGATAATAATAATAATAATCATCGTTGCAGTTGATATAGTGCCTTATCACATCTTTGAAATGTCTTAAAGTGCTTCACAGAATATACTTTAAAGTGAATTGACTGGATATTTTGTGGGCAAAACCTGATTTTTAGAGTTTTTTGATGAAGTAACAGAGTGAAGTAACAGGGTGAAGGTAGTGCAGTTGATGAAGTTTATATGGATTTTCAAAAGGTGTTTGATAAAGTGCCACATAAGAGACTTGGAAGCAAAATAGAAGCCCACGGTATTAAAGGGACAGTGGCTGCATGGATACAGTTGGTGAATGGTGGTTTTTCTGACTGGAAGGAAGTGTGCAGTGGTGTCCGCCAGGGGTCAGTATTGGGACCACTGCTGTTTTTGATTTTAATAAAAGACTTGGACTTGGGTATAGAGTGCAATTTCCAAGTTTGCAGATGATACTAAGCTAGGCAAGTAGTAAACAGTGAGAAAGTTAGTGGCAGACTGCAAATGGATATAGACAGACTGATAAAATGGGCAGACACGTGGCAGATGCAGTTTAATGTGGAGAAATGCAAAGTGCTGCATTTTGGGAGGAAGAATGAGGAGGGGCAATATAAGCTGATGGTATAATCTTAAAGGGGGTGAAGGAACAGAGAGACCTGGGTGTTCATATAAGGAAATCTTTGAAGGTGGTAGGACAGGTAGATAAAGCTGTTAAAAAAGCATATGGGATGCTTGGCTTTATAATTAGGGGCATAGAATACAAAAGTCAGGAAGTTATGATGAACCTTTATAAAACATTGGTTAGGCCTCAGCTGGATTGTTCAGTTCTGGGCACCACACTTTAGGAAGGATGTCAAGCCATTGGAGAGGGTGCAAAGGAGATTTACCAGGATGGTACCAGGAATTAGGGACTTCAGTTATCAGGAGAGGCGAGAGAAGCTATTAGGATTATTCTCCTTGGTGCAGTGAAGGTTAAGGGGAGACTTAATAGACATTTTCAAAATTATGAGGGGATCTGATAGGGTGAACAAGGAGAAACTATTTCCACTGGCGGGTGGGTCAGTAACCCGAGAACACCGATTTAAGATAGTTGTTAAAAGAAACAGAGGGGAGGTGAGGAAAACATTTTTCACACAGCGAGTCATTCAGATCTGGAATGCATTGCCTGAAAGGGTGGTGAAAGCCGATTCGATAACAGCTTTTAAGAGAGAAGTAGATAAGTATTTGGGGAGGACAAGTTTGCAGGACTATAGGGAGAGAGCGGGGGAGTGGGATTGAATTGGTTAGCTCTTTTCAAAGAACCAACACAGACACGATGGGCCGCAAATGGTAAAAATAATACTTGTGAGGCGAGTGCTCTAACTACTAAACTACAGGACTCCACTGATAACAATAACAGCAGTAGTAGATTAAAATATGACTGATTCTGATGCCACTGGTTAAATCTGTTTTTGATCAAGTGAAAAGACCAGACCTAAACATGGTACATGTATAAGATGACATTAAATTCACTACAGTGCAATTTGTTGGAATACTGCAAATCAACAATCTATTTTGTTTCCCACTGCTGCTTTAACATCAAATGTACAAGAACTAAGGAGTAGTGACATAAGAGATAGGATTATTGAGCAGATTTAAGAGTCATAAACAGTGCGATATAGTTGGATATAGTTTGTTTAAACAAATACTTCTGTGTTTTGCTATGTTGGGTAAATTTGCAAAATCAATCATGTGCATGTTTTTTTTCCAGTTTATCATATAAATGTACTTTATTTACATTTTGGTGAATCACAAATCATTATAATTAATTTGGCTGGATGCATAAGTGGCAATGGAACATGCAAGATCGCTTCTGTTGTACTCACTTATTATTTGCATAGTGCTGATGTCCAGTCTTACTTTGCTGAAGCTGGAAAAGCCAGCTGCCAGGTAATCTCTTCTGCACTGGCAGTCATGCCTTCGACTTCCATTATATGGACACTCTGCAGGATTGTTCAGTCTAAATCAAAACAGAATCTTTGAAACGTATGTCAACAATGACACATTTGCAAAATTATAAACTCATTTATAAAGCGAACACTATCTGAACTAATAATCTTCTATCCTTTTGTACCTGTAGCCGTAAACTTCTGAGAAATTTTCTGCATCACCACTTGCCAGTGTAACATACTCTCTGGGGTTATCTGACAGCATGCCAGCACAAAAGATCTGCAACAACATCAAAAAAAAATTGATCCAAAAAATAGAACAAATGAAGCAACCAAAATTATATTTTTATGACTGCTCTTTCTGTCATATTTAAACATGTCCACGATTTTACCTTCACTTGCTTTCCTTGAATATTAAGAGTGTGATCACCATCTTCCATGAAGCCTTTGAATCTTTGTATCTCATTACAGCTCTTTGGAAACTCACCTACATAACAAATATGGTTTTCATTAGAGGATAGAAAACAGTTCTAAAAAAAATCAGAAACAGACTGTATACTTGCTAATTTGCTTAGCATGAACAGAAAACAGATGGGAGTATTTTACAGTGACGTGGGTAAGGGTATAATAATCCACATCTTACATTTTCCACTCTGGCAGGTTCTCCTCTCTTCTGGTTTAATGTCCAAACTGCACAAATTACTTAACTGTCCACCATTTGTTAAACACTGTACTGAGCGTTGCATTACTCCCATTCCACAAGTCACTGAACACTTTAAAGTGGATGAAAAAAAGAGAAAATTAAGCAGCTTTAATGGTAAAATGTCCACAAATGAAAAGCACCACCAATAATAATCTAGTACAATATTGTGTTGAGATAAATGGATACATTAATCTGATGTAAATGTTATTGAAGCCATTAATTATATTTTTCATAGAATAGTTGTTTATTGTTTGTTCCCATGAAATAATTTGATTTCTAACTAACAACCAGAAAAATTGGATATCAAAACAAAAATGTATAGAAAATAAATTTTATTCACTGCATTATTATTAGCAAATTCCAAGTTCTAATTAATGTAAAGTTGTTTCAATTACAGAATCTGCAGAATTAACAAAAGGGCAGGAGGATGATTCAAAGGTAGAAAATTAAAAATTGGAATTCAATTGTCTGTCAAAATAATTTGCTCTAGTAGCATGGAAACAACCTGATAACATTGCATTTGAATGATTGAGAAGAAAAATATCATCTCATGTTGGATGGGCATGACTCCTTTGCAATTCATAGAAAAAAAAGTATAAAAAATTAGAAATTGGAATTTGGGAAAAGTGTCCAACAATCAAAATTTTTTCCATTTATTTAGGCAGCAATTTATCATTTGTGTCCTGTACTTTAAAACAAACCATAAAGGTCAGAACAGAATATAGCACAGTGAGGTGGCACTAATTAAGAGAGCTAAGCCACACACTGGTTATCTGAATATATGCATTTGTGATATTCTGGTCACAGTGATGGACTCATGAAACGGTGCTGAGTGGAGGGAGCCATTTCCCAGATAGGAGGGGCTGGTAATTGGAGGTAAAGTCATCTTGGGCTGCTCTTTTGTACCTTTTGCAGCCTGACAATGACACAATTGCAAAATTGCAATATAATTTACATTGATATTGCACCTTTCAAGTCAGTAAATTTCACACAGCAATCCATTTACGCTTGATAGGACCATTATGATCTCTTTCTACTATGCACCTTGAACAGTAGCTTGGTGTAGTGCTAAAGTCACAATTTTATAGACATAGTAGGTTCAGTTGCTCACTCTCTTGGCTCAGGAATAATGTTGAGCTGGCTGACAAGTGGCAGGAAATAAACTTAAAGACTTAAAAACTATAGATACATATTCCACTTGTTAGGCATCTGCATGACAATTACTTGCAAATGCAAGTATTATTATTATTTGGTATCAAATAGCGGCTAGCACACTGCTAATTAATTTAACTGTGCAGCACCAAGATAATATTATATTATTATTATAAAAATTCTCAGTTGATATTGGACTGATTTGAAGTCACTTCATCCCCCCTTCCACCCACACACACTATTAGTATTACCTTTTTATCACGTACAATCCTAATATCATAGTGACAAATGGTTCCAAACTTCTGACACTGATGTGTGCATGGAATGGACCTTTCAGTCTGAATTCTGCTAAAATGTAGAGTGGAGCCAGGTCTAGACCTCAATAAACTCACCAATTGGTGTGAACGCCTAATAATAATCCCTCCAAAACAAAACAATAAATTGGTCATTTTCAATCCACGACTGTTTGTGGGACACTGCTGTGTGCAATTGGCTGCCGCGTTTCGCCCACAAATATACGGTCAATTCACTTTACAGTCTATTCTGTGAAGCACTTTGAGACGTCGAGAAGATGTGAAAAGCACTATATCAAATGCAAGGATTATTATTATTAAACAGGCATTACTTTGCGGAGGGGTGAGGAAATATGTACTAAAGTGCTAACATTTAGTTGCAAATTTTGGAAATCAAATGAACAAAAACAAAGCATTTTTGTCCACACACAGTCAAAACCACTTTACAGTATATCCTGTGTAGCCCTTTGAATCTTCGCGACATGATAAGGCATTCTATCAAATGCAACAATTAGTATTATTTATGTTTTCTTGCAAGATTAATAAGGGAGTAAATGAGAAATGGCTCGTGTTTTGAAACATCAAAATGTTTCAAAAGTTTTAGCTTAGCAGTTATATAAAGCAGTAAAATTTATTATATTGACGCATTGTTCAGTGAGTTAAAACTATGGTTTCTATTGTGATTCAAAATAATAATTGTTCTACAATCTTGCTATAAAGCATCAACAGGATTGCAGTAGATTGTGTCAAATTAAATCCAGTGTTAATTACTGAGATTTAAAGAAAAGCATCAAGACACAGAGTTTGTAATTTTAAACACATTTCAGATTGAACTTACTCTTCCCCAGTTTCCAACTCTCCACGAGGCAGAAATAGGGCATTCACCAATGGAGCAGGCACGGATGTTCGGTGGTTGCACCCCTGGACAGTTTGTTGTTGTCTGATGATGATAGCTGTATTCATAGAGGTCTTTGCCGTTATAAACTTCACTGCAGGAAACGAGCCTTTGTTGATAGCCACTTCCACAAGTAACTGAGCACTGCGGATAAAGGCACATTGTCAACATTTTTTGGAGGCAAAATTGCATTATAATTTACATTGATATTGCAGCTTTCAAATCAGGAAATTGCATACAGCAAGCCATTTACTTTTGACAGGGCCATTATGATCGATTTCTACTTGAACAGTGGATTAGTGAAGCTCTAAAATCATAATTTTATAGAGATTAAAATTAAAGAGTGTATTGGCTTAGTATTAATAATACCTTTGTATTGCAATGATTTACTATTAGAATTGATCACAAGATCAGTTTGGGTCAAGAAGGTTCATTGGCCCATTTGATCCCATCTTTCCTGAATACCCTGCCCCCCACTACCATTCTCCCATCGCAGCATCTAGCATTTTAAAAAAAAAATGAATTCAGTGTTCTGACTTGAACCACCCTTTATGGTAACCCTGTTCCAGTTGTGAATTACCCTCTGGGTAAAAATACATTTCCTGGTGTCTGTCCTGAAATTATCCTTCGCAAGACTAAACATGATTCCTCTTGTTCTGCTGTCTCAGTGAATCCAAAGCTTATTGTTCTGGATTTAAAATCTTGTATATCTCTATAGATCAGACAGAACTTCATAATTCATGATCAATCTGATCAGCCCACTTCATATGCCATCCTCAATTTATCTATCTATATTAAATTTCTTTATTCGATGCATGAATAGAAAAATTGTCTTGCATGCACATCTTTATCTGGGTCTAGCCAGGAAAAATGATAAAAGAATGCTTTGAAGTGCAACAAGACTTTCTGTCCACAACATCTGAAGATCTTTCTTTGTCCTCACAAAAACGATGGATTATGGCTCAATTTCTGGTAACCACAATATTGCATAGCCAAGCACAAAAATGAGATAACAATCTCATTAAATGTCTTTCTTGTGCTCAAATAAGACAGAATTCGTGTTTAAAAAGAAAACTGAAAAATATAGTTTGGCAGTAATGTAGCAAAAATCGCTACTGTACTTAGAAATCATCATTTGAAGATAACTTATTTTATATCCACAACCAAAATGGTTATTGTCAGAGGAATCATCCTCAGCACCTTGTCATGCATCCCTGAGTGAAGAAATAACATTTTCTAGAATTTGTTAAAAAGAGAATTGGACAATCAGATGAAACAACATCAAACAAGGTTTACGGCTTACACAAATCTGAAAATGTTACAGGTTTCATACATTGATACAGACCAATAATCCTCCAAATTAATGATCATTTTTAGCACCTTGCTGGCACATTTGCCGACAAAAATAATCAATCCACTTGATAGTGATTACTTCAAGCATTTTGAAACCTTTCAATGTGAAAAATACAAGATCTTTCTTTCACTTAACTATTAAAAAGCTATTAGATTTTTTGAGAACTTTGATTCTGATGTATAACATATTGAAAGACATTTGGATTCAGGCTTTTTACCAGTTCAACAAAACTGATTTTATTCAGATTTTTTTTTTACCTCAGACCATTCTCCGGTAATCCATATGTATTCACAAGGTTGAGTATTGCACTTCTCCACACTGGACGGTCTTTTCATTTTTACTTCACAGTTATTACTCTGCGTCTCTTCATTATTCTGGTTAATGCAGGTTACTTTACGGTACCTTGTTCCAGTACCACAGGTCGAACTGCACTGTAAATGGAGGCACAAGAAAATAAAATTATTAAAATGGTATAATTATTCTCTAAAATAAAGCTTACAAACAAAGCAAAAAATGCTAATTAGAGGCAAAAAGTATTGAGCAGTTGTTTGTTTTCACTCACTATAATGTGCTTAAAGGAGAAATAAATATTCGGGCCCATGGATAGTATTTTGAATGCCTCTGTATTACCACATCCCTTACAGTGATCACTGTACAATATCGATTATTCAGTGTTTCAAAGCCACAAATACCATTGGTGAAAAATGATAGCAAACAAATCTAAATGGTAAAGAATATAGAAATATATGTTAGTACTATCTACAAGTACCTCTTAATCAATATCTACATATATTACTAATACCTAATCACACCACTAACAAATTGATATCTATTTTTTCTACTCTCACATTTATCATTTACAGGCAGTCAAGAATTAACTACCATAGTAAATGAAATTGGAAGCATGGAGGAAAACTAGTGTTTCTCCATTACTCAAACTTCAAGTGTGCAACTAATGGTACAACATTTTTTGTGATCATACCATCGATATTATGCCTCAGTTATATTGATGGCAGCCTGAGAGTAGGCAACAGTGGCTATGCCATCATTAAGTACTGATGTTATCACCCATTCTGGATGTGTACTTACCTAGTCGTGCTGCATGAAACATCAAAACTTATTTCATTTGGTGTTTCAAAGGAAACACAAGTGCCTCTGTCAATTGAGGCTATTTACCTTTTAAAGGTCACATATCAACACTGGTCTCTCTATTTATCTTCCAAGACAGTAAAGACAAAGAACTGATTTATCATTTCCTATTTAGTACCTAAAATCTGTTCAGCTACCCTCATGCTTTCTTGAGGCAGAATAGCTGACAAATCCCTTTGCAATTTTTATTCCCAGTCTGGTTCTGTCAATAGTGTACTAGGTAGATGTATGGTCTGCTTTGTTTCACCACTGCCCAACATTGAGATGTCCTTCATAACAGCTTGTTATTGAAAAACAATCACTCAGTTAGCAGATGTGCATTAACCCTGACAACACACATGCACTGTAATTTGAATATCCTGTGTTACACCCAGTCTCAGAAAATAGTAGCATTAACCAAAACAATGTTACAGGATAATATGTTTGATTTAAAATGCACTTTAAAAGTAGGTTTACCGAGAGATACTTTGTCATAGGAAAAACACATCTGTCACTGAAACATTTAAAAGATACACAAAAATTACCTATGGTTTAAAGAATTGTAAATATAAGCATAACAAAAACGAATTATATTTCTCAGAAACTCTTTTAAACTCGGCAGAGCCAAACAAGGTAGAAGACAGAATTTTCAGCTGTTGACTTGATTAAACAGAAATCCATTTGTTATCTTGAAAGGTCAGTATTTTAAGTTTATTATTCTCAACTTTTCTGTGTTTGGGAGGGGAAGGGAGGCAAAAAAGGAGATCACAAGTTTTAACCCTAACATTTATTGGGGAAAAAATACATTTTAGCACAGTATTCTATTGGTCGCTTTGAATTAGATCTCACGACTGTATGCTTTTGGAGCTAATTCTGCATATAAAGTATCTATGAATTCTACCTTTACTAGAATGTACATTCATGGCAGAAATTCAGGTGTTCCACAAAGACATAAATCATGCTAATGTTTTATTCATTAATGACCTTTCAAATTCAACAGCAGCATCCCCTTCGTTATGAATAACGTGCACGATTTAATGTATTATTAACAGTGTTTGTGTGGTACATTTTCCCTCAATGTTCACCGGCACAATGTATTAAATTCTTGTAAGTATAAATGGATTTGTGTTCTGTGAAGTGCAAGAAAATTTCATCACAGGAAAGTTAAATCATCCATGTAGAATTCTATTAATGAGCATGCTGTGCTGCTAAACTACTTCTTTAGGACAGCTCTCTGTGGTGCAACATTTTTTTAAAGGTTAAACCAGTTTGGAACTAATCTGGAGTGATTGTTGTGCAGTCAGTAGGATACAAAAGGGGACTATGGCCCCTTTAATCTAAGATCTGTAGTCTTAAAGCAGTTGAATACAAATCTGTCGATTCACACAATACGTTTTAAACAAAATGGCATGTCCTTCTACAGCCATTGTGTGTCTGCCTGCTCTGTCCAGCCTCTCCTGATACCCTGGGGTTGGGAGCCTAAGTCTCCAATTAAGAAATGTGGCATCAGAAACATTTTAACTTCTAGCAACAAGTTATTGAATTGAGAAAACCGTACCAACAACCGAACATTTTGAACCATATGATGTAAACTGTTCTGCAAATGCTAAGTTAATTCTACACCAGGAAAACAAAACCAACATATCACAAATTGTTACCAAATAGGTGAAACCATAAATATTGCTATGAATATGAAATTCAAACATGCCAATTTGCTATCAATTAGAAACAAAGGAACGGTTTTAATAAATTGTCAAAAATAATAATAAATAATAAGAATCCTTGGATTTGATATAGTGCCTTATCATGTCTTCGAGACGTCTCAAAGCGCTTCACAGAATAGACTGTAAAGTTAATTGACTGTATATTTGTGGGCGAAACGCGGAAGCCAATTGTGCACAGCAGTGTTCCACAAACAGTCGTGGATTGAGTGACCAATTTTTTAAAGGAATTTTGACAATGAATGGAACAGTTCAAAAAGGAAATAGTCAATATTACAGTCAAAAGTATTATGTTACTTGTATAATGTCTGTATAAATCAATACATAGAATGAAATTTGAAATTTCATGAATTGTCACTGTTCATTAAAAGTGCAAAATACTTCATCGTGCGAGCTACTATTTTATTTGTTGCATTTATTGTAATAGTATGATGTGTTTACGAGAGGTATTACCACGTAGTTACTGATAAAGGGTTCTAATAAAGGCTTCACAGCATTGTTTACCTTTCCCTATAAATATGTAGTGTACAGAGATCACATGAATTACACAATCAGAATCCGTGGCTGGCAAATCTAAACCAATTAAACAGAAGTAAGGCAGAAAATGAAACTGGCCCTTCGGGGTATTTTGTGAGCTGACAGAATCAACAACTACTTGAAAAAAACAGCATTTGTCTTTGAACTTTTTCTTCTCTTGGGAATTATTTCACCCAAAAAGATAGCTATATGAAGCCAAGATTTGGGTAATTGAGGGATTTTGTGTGCATGTTTGAATTGTGTTATGGAATTTTCTTATTTGTGGTAATTCTTGTTGTGGTAGTGACATTTGAAAAGAAAAGGTACTTGAACACATCATCATTCATCGAGGAACCGATTTTTATATTTCTATAACCTCAAAGTTAATAGTTTGCTGCCTGACTAACTGTTTCTATTTGTTCTTGCTTAAATTCTGAAATTCTACGGCTTCTAATTATTTTCCTTATTCCTTGAAAACACAAGGATTTTCTCTGATGTAATTGTTTTGAAGAAAGTGTAAGTACATTAAAATTGAAAACAGGCTGATGTCCAAACTGCTTGTCAGACCATTCTGACCTTGCCATTTTTGAAGAATTTTAAGTTAAGCAAGCGATGCACCACTTATAATGTACTTACAGGCATGAGGCACGAGACTCTAGTGGATCAAATGTACCATTGTCTAATTGAATTTGGTGCCATTCTTACTTCCAAACACATGACAAGAGATGTATAGTTGAAGAAGCTACATCAATCCATTTAATTTTACTTCCAGAATATTCATCCTATTCTTTTCCTTGTTACAACATGAAGCAATCCTCAGCATTTTTAAACACATTCACTGCTCTTCACTCTTTTCACCCTCTTTGGTAGTTCATTCCATCCGTTAATTACTGTAAGATCTTGGTTGCATTCCTCAATACCATCATTGCCCCGAGCTTTGTGCCATTTGCAAATTTACATATTTTGCATTCAGTCTCTAAATCCAGGTCATATAGGCACAAGAGGAGTCCAAACACAGACACCTGATGTATCCCATTCAATACCTTCCTCTATTCAACCAAGCTTGGAAGATCACAAATATAACACTGGTATTTAAGAAGGGTGGGAGCAATTACCCTGACATCAGTAATAAGGAAAATTCTAGAGTCTATGATTAGCGATGTTGTCGTGGGGCACTTAGAAAGTCATAATATGATTAGGCAGGGTCAACACAGTTTTATGCAAGGGAAATCATGTTTAACAAATCTTTTAGAGTTCTTTGAAGATGTAACTAGCAGTTTAGATAGGGGCGAACCAGTGGATATAGTGTACTTAGATTTTCAGAAGGCATTTGACAAGGTGCCACACAAAAGGTTGTTACATAAGATTAGGGTACATGGAATTAAGGGTAATACATTAGCATGGATCAAAGAATGGTTAACAGGCAGAAAACTGAGAGTAGAGATAAATGGGTCCTTTTCAGATTGGTAGGTTGTGACTATTGGAGTGCCACAAGGATCAGTGCTTGGGTCTCAATTGTTTACAGTCTACATCAATGACTTAGATGAGGAAATAGAGCTTAATGTATCTAAATTCATGGACAATACAAAGCTAGGTGGGAAAGTAAGCTCTGAGGAGGATACAAGGAGGATGCAAAAGGATATACACAGGTTAAGTGAGTGGACAAGAAGGTGGCAGATGGAGAATAATGTGGGGAAGTGTGAAGTTATTCACCTAGGTAGAAAAAGTAGAAAAGCAGATTATTTTTTAGAGGGGGAGAGACTAGTTAGTGTTAGTATTCAGAGGGATTTAGGTGTCCTTGTATACCAATCACAGAAGGGTTAGTATGCAGGTACAGCAAGCAATTACGAAGGCGTTTATTGCAAAGGGGTTAGAGTACAAGAGTAGGGAAGTCTTACTGCAATTGCATAGGGCCTTGGTGAGATCGCACCTGGAATATTGTGTGCAGTTTTGGTCTCCTTATCTAAGAAAGGATATACTCGCCTTAGAGGGGGTGCAACGTAGGTTCACTAGGTTGGTTCCTGGGATGAGTGGGTTGACCTACGAGGAGAGGTTGAGTAGACTAGGGCTATATTCTCTAGAATATAGAAGAATTAGAGGTGATCTTATAGAAACCTATAAGATTCTTAAGGGCCTTGACAAGGTAGATAGTATGAGACTGTTTCCTGTGGCTGGAGTATCTAAAACTCGGGGTCATAGTCTCAGGATTAAAGGTCAGCCATTTAGAACTGAGTTGAGAAAACATTTCTTCACTCGGAGAGTAGTGAAATTAAGGAATTCTCTATCCCAGAAGGCTGTGGATGCTCAGTCATTGAACATATTCAAGACCTAGGTCGATAGATTTTTAAAAAAAGGAATTAAGGGATATGGGGATAGGGCAGGTAAATGAAATTAGGTTAGAAGATCAGCCATGATCTTATTAAATGGTGGGGAAGGCTCGAGGGGCTGAATGGCCTACTCCTGCTCCTATTTCTTATGTTCTTATGTTCTGTCCTAATGGCTACCTTCTGCTTCTTGTCCTCTAGGCAGTTACTAATTTGCTCCCGATACCGAATGACATTAGCTTATAAAGAAAACTCTTATGTGGTACTTTATCAAAGGCCTTTTGGAAGTCTATGTACACTACAGTGCCATATGGCTTCCCATTCGGCTGTCATTTTCTCAAAACATCTACTGGTTAAACTAGAGATACCCCCTATGAATTTGTTCCACTGGCTGCGTGCAAAAAATGTTCATTTCACTATCCTTTGTTAGCAAACCCCTTTATAGTTAACAATTCTCAGATACAAAACAGTACTTCCAATAAATAAAATAATGCTGCTTAAAAAGCTGCCATATGCACATCTGCACTACATTAGAACAAATTTCCACCAAAGAAGAGATTAATTTGCAGCTATGGTTGTTTTTAAAGACTTTTCTTGGAAATATGCCTGTGACATGTTATAAATTTTCAAAGCATGCACGATTCTGCATGCAGTCCTGAAATCCTTTAAAAAGTAATGTGGCACAACTAATGTTCACCTACCACAATGGGGCTCTCTAATTGATTCCAGCTGGTGGAAGTGAAAAGGAGCTCCAGGGGGAAGAGGTGGAGAGGGAGAACTCATTTAAAAAATAAAGAAAAATTAGCCTGCAGACATGCAAAGGAATTTCGGCTGTTTAACAATCTATTTTCAGCTCAAATGAAACTTTTTCATGTATAACTAAAAATAAAAAGTTAAGAATCATACAAACATTCCAAACAACCTTTGCACTGTAATCTCCCATATTTTCCCTTTATATTGCAGATTGTAACTAATTTATATTGGACTACAGTACTTTAAATGTTCCATCAACCAGAACTTGTATACAAGCAAAATGCAAGATTTGTAAGCATTTAAAATAAATGTGTGCACTGCACAGAAAAACCTAGGATTTTTTTAAGGTTTTACATTTGAAGACTAGTTATTGCAGTAAGTAGATATTTCAGCTGGATTTGTCTTTTATGCAGGCAAGTATCTGTAATTCTTTGTTCCTTTAGTTAAATGATCTCTAAAGCAATATCAAGTTTCATTTATCATTTAATTTCTACCCAGCTGAGATTTTGTCCTTCCAACTATTCTGCTCCTTGGCGATATGTCAAACATCTTTCTAACCACATGAAGCCAGCCATCTGATCCAAGTTTACAACTCACACCTCATGAGCAAAGTTAGACTGGTGCATGTCAGGAAGAGTGCCTTTCTCTTGTTTATTCTGAATGGGGCTTGTGCTGCCTGTTGCAGCTATACTTACTTTTTGCCATTCTTCCACATGCCAGCTGTAAAATGGACATTCTCCAGCCTGACAGCGTTGAACTGAAGCAGGTTGTGTGGAACGATTGCACTGGGTGTCTTCAATTGTTCGGTTTGAGATCTGGCAGAAGACTTTTCGTTGCTGAGTTCCACTTCCACATGAGACTGAGCACTGCAGAGTTTGGAAAAGGTAGGTTTCAGTGTTGCAAATTGCAGTACTTTAATGCTTGCCAAGTTAAGCTTTTATTGAATTGATCAAAACATTATGCTGTATATTCTTTTTGCTTGATTCTTAACTCTGTTAATGTACTACATCTGAGCAATTAAAGTATATGATCTGTACTAGCATACTGCAACATAGTCTGGAACGCAATTACATAGGCAGAATTTTGGAAGAAAGAATTTTTAAAACTGACAATTCATGGAGCATTTACAAATGTAAAGTCACTGTTATAAGACCTGATCATAGTGATTTTTTAAATCTTACTAAGGTAGCATCTGATCAACTTTACAACTATTATATGTGAAACTTTGCATTGTTATTCAATGGAATAACAATGGAAACCTGGTTGTTAAATTCAGTTAGCTTTTTGTTCGGATTGAGAGAACCTAGCTTTTGTGCAAGGGTTAAAATCATTAAAATAAGCAAACTTTGTAGGGAACTTCTGTGACATCAATTGTATACTTTGAAATGAATTAAACTGACAAGCACTGCCTTCATTTACACCAGTAGTTCAAAATCACTTACTTAAATTACGTCAGTGAGTTAAAATCACTGCTGTAATTTATATCAGTGAAGAATTTAGGAACACCGCCCAATGCATGGGGGAGGGTAAAAATAAACATTTCTTGTTTTTTTCCTGTGGCAGTGAAGCAAAATTCTTTTGAAGCTTATTGAACTAAAAACTGTTGCAAAACTGAATAATTTATCCTATGAGATACAATTAGGGTACATTATGCTTTATCCGGTTTGGCAAACAATATATGGCATGATCGATTACTGCTCCATACTTTTTTTTNATAATTGATCAGCTTTATGAGAAATTGTATCTCAATATTGTAGCAACTTGGCATTCAAGCAGTGGTCTGAAAGCACCAGTTCCATTAGCTATGTTTGAACTTTGGAAAGCTCTTATTAGTTACTATATAGAAAATGTAATAATAATAGCTGTGGTGTCTAGTTGCACACATAGATTATTTAATGTTAGAGGCACTAAGGTTGAGACACATCAGCTTTGATTTCAGGTGCGTTGTACCAACAGTTCCTAAATCATATTTTGGGATTGCTATTGCTCATGATTGTTTCACTACATCTGAGGAAATAAGCAATATCACCATAGGTCATGCTTGAAAAACATGCCACACAACATGAATGAAAACAAATAAAACTGGTATCAAGGCTGACAACTTTTTAGTTAGTTTAATAAATAGTATTGCCTCTTCAGAATTACAGCAAAATTGGAGTAAAACGAAAGCAACAAATATTCTTAATTATGTTGAAATACTTTGAAAGATAGGAGGAACTCGTAGCTCCTAAGTTGTTTCAATTTTCACCAACAGTGGGTACAAACCCCAAGCCTTCATTGGGCTATTCTGTCAGGATCAACCTAACCAACAAATCAAAGAGCTTTTGGCCTAAAATTATAAATGATGTCGCTAACATTGGTGACTTTGACAATGTGTGCTTCTAATAGGATTTTCTCATCATAAAGGCACACCCTGTAAGTAACAACACTTAGCAGGGAAACAATTTTTGGGGCTTCTTATTATTGATTGCAAAATTACACCTCAGCCAAGAATGCCATATGTGGCTGGACCACTAGATGGAGTAGGGCATACAATGGAATGTCTGCCTTGTGATTGCAAAGATTAGACTGAAGATTCCCGAGAGCAGCACATGCTGATCATGGGCCACCACAGATGGCAGCCAAGGAGAGATCAACAGCTCAGTCTAGCCTACCCTCACGATAAAGTAAAGGGAGCTATAATGATTACTGCAGTGCGGCGTATTAAACCAAAGTCTTACAGTCACAGATACAACAATTTGCAATTCTATAGCGCCCTTCATCCGGGTTAGTGTCCTGGATAACTTGACAGTGGCGGAGTCTGACACCCAGCCAGGGTGAGAGGGAGGGGGGAGGTGACCGTAAGCTCAATCAAACAGTAAGGTCTTTAGGTGGGATTTGAAAGTAGGGAGCGAGGGGTCAAGGCGGAGGGATTGAGGGAGAGAGTTCCAGAGAATAATAGCTGAAGGAACAGTCACCGATCGTGGAGCAGAGGGGACGAGGAACAAACAGAGGAGGCCGGAGCCAGCCAAGCGGAGGCAGCAAGTGGTGGAGTGGGGGGTAAGCAGGTCGGATAGGTAAGGATGTATGAGGGCATGAAGGGATTTGAAAACGAGTGAGACAATCTTGAAATCGATTCATTCATAATTGGGAGACAGTTGAGCCTGGCAAGGACTGGTGTGATGCGGGAAGGAGTTTTTTGTGGGTGGGTATTCGGGTGGCAGAGTTTTGGATTAGTTGAGTTTTGTGTATGATGGAGGTGGGAGATCAGCGAGGAGGGCAATGAAATAGTTCAGCCAGGAAGTGACGAAGGCATGGACGAGGATTTTGGCTGCTTTGGTTGTGAGGTACAGATGGAGGCAGACAATGTGATGGAGGTGGAAAAAAGTGGTCCTTGTTAGGGAACAGATGTGGGGTAGAAAGGAAAACTGGGGATCGAATCTGACGCCTAAGTTGCGCACAGGTTCGATGAGTGTGAGGGAAGCCGGGGGTGGGTGGGGGTTTGAGGATTTCAGATCCACAGGAGAGAAAATGTTGATGGGGACTAAAGAGTATGGCTTCCGTCTTGCTGACATTCAGCTGCAGAAAATTTGCACTCATCGAAGCCTTGATGTATGTCAAACAAGCTGAGGGGGTGGCGGTAGGTATGAAAATGCTTGAGCCACAGTTGGCGGTGAGCATGAGGATGGTTTGGTGCCACCTGTGCTCGAGCAACCGGGTTTGGGATTTGAGGGAGCGGAGGTGACTATTGTACCGGGGAGGTGGGTCGGCTTGGAGATGGACCTGGCTTTCAGGGGTTCGAGGGAATTGAAGGTGAAGGAGAGGTGAACGTTTAGCAGCTTGATGGCTGCGTCTCGATCACTTCGGGTGGAAGGCCAGAGGGAGACAATGTCTGAGGATAAGAGGGCGTTTGCGAGGGAATTGGGGGGAAGCTTCTTTGATGGATGGAAAAACATGGTGGGGGCCTTGGAGGAGGGGAGGATGAAATGAGAGAGATGAGTGGTCTGAGGTGGCCTTGTCTGTGATGTACAGATCAGTGATGTCTAGGCCATGAGTGATGATGAGGTAGAGATACGATTAAATAGAGAATAATGTTTGTTTTAACATCATAAAGGTAGATAAATATAATAATGATCTTTGCATCTTATACAGTTCCTTATCACATTGCCAAAAACCCTCAAGGCACTTCACAAGATTTTTACCCTTAAAGTGCAGGCGAATGGATAACTAACATGTAAACCTAATCAGAAGTATGCAAGTCAAAAGAACTCTCCGAAGCTTGGACAGTTTTTTGTAACAGCAGACCAGCAATTTACAGAAAGAATATTAATAATGAACACATTATTAAATAATTAAACTGAAATAAAGGTACAAACCTAAAAGAATTGAGAGTAAATTTCTTTCTCATTTCCTAGGAAAAATAGATCAGTCATTTAAAAATTCATAGTCCTCATTATCTGAACTAACATCTCCTTCACTCATAGCTGTGTAGCCCACAGACATTTGTAAATTTAAATTATTCAGGACAAAGGAATGTAACTGCAAGATCCAAAGAGGGGAGAGAGGAAAGTAAAATGTCAGCACACAGAAAAATCCTTTCGTTTAAAATGTGGGTGACACTTTCTGAAAGACCTACATTTTCATTTCAATCTCAGTTGCTTCTGCAAGGGATTTTCTACAAACCATAGATCACTCCCAAAATAGACCTTCCTGCAAGATATGCTGGAAAATCTTTTTGCCTCAGACTCCAATGGACAACGTATCTAAAGGACATTTTTGTTTCTTCAGGTGGTGGAAAAGGTTCAGCCATTGTAAAGACCTTATTTCACAAGATTGTAACACCTTTGCAGCAAGGTTACTAAAACGCATCTAAATTGGACCAGGAAATGATTTCACCCTCTTAACACTTCTCAAGCAAAAACAAGAAGAGTCTAAATAAATGATCATTTGAGAGATTGGGTGAAGTGAATTTAACGGGGATTAGGACAGTTCGTACATTTTGGAGAGAATCACACATCAAAGAAAGCTCCAAAGTATTTCAAGCATTCTCTAACTCTGGTCTGACCCAGAAATGTCTATCTTATATTTTAACAGCCTCAAAGGAAATGCTCTGGATCACAACATTTTAAATTGTTGTTCTGCCCATGCATAGTAACTTGTTTGGTATGGAATAATTTTCAACATAAGAAAGTACAGAATGAGAAAAGTCAGCTCAGCCTGACTTCCTTCTGTCATTTGACGTTTCCTCTTCTCAGTCCCAGCAGCACAGCACATTATAATATCTCTGGGCTACTGGTGCTTACTGACTCACTTCTACTATTTTACTCTTTAAGTCATAGCCTACAATTGTATTACACAGGTTCAAATGATCAATCCTGGCACTTTATGCAGACATAAAGAACTTGTAAAATATAGGCCGGGATTCTTAGTTAGGCTCAAATTGTCTCTTCATAGAATCATAGAAAGTTAAGGCACAGAAGAAGGCAATTCAGCACATCATGTCGACGATGATGGCTCTTTGAAAAAGCAAGCCATTCAATCCCATTTGCATGCCTTTTCCTCAGATCCCTGCAAATTTGTCTTTTTGAGATATGTAGCTAGTTTGAACCAATAACAGGTGGATAAAACTGCAAAGTTTGTGCAGCTTTAATGGAATATACATGAACAAACTAGTGATATAATAATTTGGCCAGTTTGCCTCTGTTCAACAACATTAACTTCAGGATAGATTAACATGTTTTGGCTAGGGTAACATAACTTGCTCCAAGCCAAAGACACAGCCAAACCAAAACATTAAACCTTAATTTTCTGGTATGGATAGCTAGTGTAACAGCAACATGTCATTACAAGTGACATTTACAAACTTAACTATCTCGTAGTCCAATTTTCTGTTAAAAAAATTACCATATTGGTGATACACGTTTGACCTTTAACTTGGAGAAATGCAATAGTTCTTGTACCTATATAAACACAAATAGATTTAATCCAGATGGTTAAGTGGTTTTACCTAAATGGCAATTATGTTTTTGCTCTGTGAATTATTTATTTTTTGGTCAAGGTAGGTAGTTCTCTGGAGCACTCCTTTATCACTCTCAGCAGGAAGAACAAACTACCGTGAAAGAGAATAGTTCCTGAAAATTGGTAAATGTGGTACTTCAATCATTTCAGTTCTATAATATAATTATAACAATAGCTTTCAAATGTTTTATAGATATTAAATGGATAGCATGATTTGGTGGATCATTTGAGTTTTTTCTTGATAAAAACTGAGAAAGCAAGTGGAGCAATGTTGTGGAGATGGAGAATTAGAGCCTTACTAACAGCTGAATTTGACAGTAGAAGGAAGTGATGACTGAGTCTGGAGCTGCCAGCTGAATAAATAATCCTTGAATTTGATATAGAGTCTGACCATGTTGTGGGGACATATCAACGCGCTTTTAAAAGATTTTATTGTGAAATGTGACTGTGGATTAGCAGGCCATCACAGTAGACAATTTAATAATAATCCCTGCATTTGATACAGCGCCTTATCACATCATTGAGACGTCTCAAAGTGCTTCACAGAATACATTGTAAAGTGCAGTGACTGTATTTTGTGGGAAAAATTTACACACAGTAATGTCCCCTGAACAGCCATGAAGTGACCAACCCATTTTATTTGGGGGATTGCTGGCCAGGACAGGGCATTCCCTGTAACCCATTCGGTGTAAATGCTACCTTCATTGTTTCAAAGATTCACAATCACTATTTGGTGAGAAAATCACACAAATCTTCAATTTCCCATAACTGTAACTGCTTTCTAAAATTATCAAAATTGTAGTGAAAGAAAATCACAAAAAGTCTGAAGTATAATTTTGACCAATCTTACTTTTAATATACAGTAATTTGCATTTATTTGAATTGCATTTTATTTACTGTGATCATCCCAGCTGTTAACTTGTTTCAGATCTCTTTGTAAGATCTTGGCTGTATCCTCTGGTTCCATGGGTTGATGCCATATACAAATGTAATCAATCTACAAATCTAACCTTGTACAGATTCTGAAAATTCAGTTTGTTTATGTGTATCAGAAACAAAGGGTCCCAACAGACATCCAGAAGCATCCCATCCCAATTCTTCCCCACTATAATCTCTGAGATGCTCCTAGATGCTTCACCATGTGAAGAACGCTACATAAATGCAAGTTGTTGTTGTAGCTTTAACAAGCTGAATATATTTTATTGTGCAAGCAACTATATAATTGATGACAGATTGTTCTGAGCAGATATGATACAAAAAATTAGTTATAACAAGTAGGTTATAGTTTGCTCTAACATCACCTTTCGACAAATGACTAGACTATGAGTTTGAGATAACTAATGTGAAAATCTAGAGAACCAGACAAGAAAACTAGAACTGGAAAAATGTGGACAAACTTACAGTGCAACTTTGTGCTTCATCTCATCAAATTGTGAGGTCCTTTACAGACTATAATGAAACTTATAGCAAAATGTTTGTTTGCATGTAACTAAAAAAAATGACTTCACAAAAATCTATCTTTCAATTCAGCTCTCATTAATCCCACTAAACTTTTTTCCCCTTTGAAATCTCTCTTCTCTTCCTTTGGACCAGAGCTTAATACCTTTGGAAAAGCAAGCAAAAGTATATAACTTGCACAAAGCTTTATACTTCACCTGTTCCCAGTCGGCAGCTTTCCACTTAGGACATCGACCTCCTCGGCATCGCTTGTGTGTTTTGGGTCTGGCGAGGTTCTTACAGTTCTCCTCTTCCGCTTGCTTTCCATCTCTAGTCATGCAGGAGACAGTGCGATACTTACTTCCCTTCCCACAGAAATTGGAGCACTGTAAACAAAGCAATTAAAAGAGTTATTTCTTTGATTGCTGTCTGTCCGTTTGGCTACTATCCTTATCTTAGAGCAAATACTGTACACCACTTCCATTCATATTGCATGAATGCATTTATACAGTGAAGGAAAATCACAGTCCTGTGCACTATACTAGATTGCTGATATGTGCTTTATATTTCTTAACCATTAATAAAGTTAGATAAGAATATAAGAATTTGTTAGGCAAAAGTCCATCCAACAACAACAACAAAATTACATTTATAGAGCGCCTTTCACGTCGGGAGGACATCCCAAAGCGCTGAACAGTCAGGTGTCAGGGCCTGAGCATGGGGGAGGGGTGGTGTAGGGGTGAGAGAAGGCAGAGAGGTGGGAGGGAGACCAAAGGCACGATCGAAGAGCAGGGTCTTGAGACCGGCCTTGAAGGAGGCAAGGGAAGAAGCGAGGCAAAGGGACCGTGGGATGGAGTTCCAGAGTGTGGGGGCTGAGAGTCTGAAAGCCCGGCCACCGATGGTAGAGCGGGTCGGGCGAGAGACATGGAGCAGGCCAGAGCCCGATGAACGGAAGGAGTGGGCAGGTTGGTAGGGAGTCAGCAGGTCAGAGAGTTAGGAGGGGGCAATCCAGTTTGCTTTCTACCAGTCACTTGGCATGTCGTGTCCCAAACTATAAATTGAATCCCGAGATATTATTTTCTAACACAAATCTATCTAATTTGTTCTTGAAAGAACGAACACTTCCTGCTTCCACCGTCTCCCTAGGGAGCCTGTACCATACTACTCGCTCACCACTCGATCAACAACAATGACTTGCATTGATATAGTGCCCCTCACACAGGGTAGCATTCCAGAACGCTTAAATTGATCAGGATCACCGACAATTTTATAATCTACTTTTTGGGCCCTTTGTTTCTTTTTCCTGATAAAATGGGGATCAATTAAATTGGAAAATAAATGCCAGCGGGTTATTAACCGTTCAATTATTGGATTTTTTAAACTTTCAAAATATGGACTTTCTTTTGTGTAACTTTTTTAAAATTGATGTTTTGTAAATTTCTAAATACTGAAGTAGATCAAGAAATCAGTCAATATCAAATGTGTTATTTTTTAAATTTATAGTATTTTCAGAATTAAATAATCTACCAGACTGCGGGACCCCATCACCCCAAATCCTCGTCCTCACCTTCAAAGCCCTCCTCTTTCTACCTCTGTGACCTGCTTGACCCCATATCAACCTGTCCGCTTCCTCCGCACAGAAGCCTCTGGCCTGCTCCACGTCCCCTGCCCGGCCTGGCCCACCATCGGCAGCCGAGCCTTCAGCCTTTCTGCCCTCACCTATGGAACTCCATCCCACATTTCCTTTGCCTCGCTCCCTTCCTTGTAATTTTGTATTGTATTAACTCTATTCTTCAGCAGAGAAATACCTTTGCAGTCCTCAAATATAAGCAATGTTTTCATTAAAACCAGAGATTTACAGCATATTATACTGGCAAATTTCCCTGGTCATTTCTGAAAAAGCTGGTGTAAAACTTACAAATATACTTCCACTACACTACACTCTGTGAAGCATTTTGAGATGTTTTAATACAATAAAGCTATATCAAAGTGCAGGGATTTTTAAAATTTGTTACAATAATCTATTCTAATAATATAATATATTGAAGTGTTCCTTTTCCAATTTCATTCAAGCCATTCACGAGGAAAGGTTGTTCCTTCTAAAGCACCTGCTGATCTATCATAAATAAACGTTTGCAATGCTGTTCCTTGTTCTATTTTTAGTTCAGTTTATTCAAAACACATTACAAATTAGCGATCAGATGTCATGCTATCACGTCAGCAGTAACACTACTTTACATTCCTCTGTACACTGGTGTTGTAAAATAGTTCTCATGGCTTCACTATGTTAGGCCCTTTAGAAATAATGAGGAGGCAGGTCAGCCTCATTTAAAATGTACTCTCTTGTAGTCTGAACATAAGTTCTATTTAATAATCGTTGCATTTGATAAAGTGCCGTATCACATCGTCAAGACATCTCAAAGTACTTATAGCAATTACTGTGCAACAACAAGTTGCATTTATAGAATGTCCTTCACGTCTCGGAGTGCTTAGTGTCGATTGCACACTGTAAAGTATAGTCACTGTGTATTTGTAGGTGAATATACTATTTGAGAACATATTAAACACAGCCCACAAAATACATCGTCAATCCTCTTTGCTGGATATCCTGTGAAGCGCTTTGAGACGTCTCATCGACATGACACGGCACTATATCAAATGTAATGATTATTATATAATAAAACATTGTGTGCAATAAAAGGTCACAAGAAATATTAAGTACAGCTTTTTTGTTTTAAAATTAGCATGAAAATGACTAATATGGAATACTTAATTTCACATAGAAATTAACTTTTAGGAATGTAAGATTTGGTTTGACAGAGCGAAGCTCCGTGATCATACTTTTTTGGCCTCATTGCAACAAATGTATACTTCCTCCAGATTGTTACACATTTTGTAATGGCATACAATTTAGGACGAATGCAAAAGGTTACGCGGAATCTAGCAATCCAATCTCTTTTGTTCTCCTTTGCCAAAATGAGCAGCACTTTACACTCACAGATTCATCTTTACATTGTGATTCTGATCTCTGTAATCTTGGAATGACACCGGTTGAATATGATCATTTAACAGGATTATACTATAAGAATAATAATGCTTGCATTTGATATAGGGCCTTATCACATCTTCGAGACGTCTCACAGAATATACTGTAAAGTGAATTGACTGTATATTTTGTGGACGAAACACACAATGTGGGCACAAGACTTATTAAAAACAGTTAAGAGACTCTGTAAATGAGTCATTTGCAATAGAATAATTTTGCCAGAGATTTTACTTTGCTTGGATGGGGAAAGGCTCAAATCTCACACACTATTTTGCAAAGTTTGTTTTTAAACGTTCCTGAATCTTCTTGGGCATTACAATAAACTTGTTCTCTGGACTAATACAATCTTAATTTGTTGCACAGAAAACCCTATGACCTCGTTCCCAAAAAATAGACCGTCATACAAAATGCTTACTAGCAAACTGATTATTCAAGCTACATAAATATAAGTTTGTCTTTGGAAGTTAGTTGACTGCGATATAGAAAATTCACTCAATTAGTTAATGATTTTTTCAAACTCAATAATGTGCTGATATATGTGACAGTTCTAATCTTCAGGCAATCAGTGCTAATTTAAGCAATACATCCACCACGAAAAATGAAAGAACTGAATTTCCTCACATTTAAATATTTCCACTGAGCTATCAAATTTGGTTTCTACGTAGCCTGATGAACTGCTAATGTATAACAACATTAGAGTGGTGTTCTTTTTCTTATGTGAGAGCCCAATCATTTTACTAGATATGTATATCAAAAGGTGGGAGATTAAAGCACTGATTCAATGATACCTTTGATACCATTGGGTTACCACAATGTTTGTTACAGTGTACATTTTCCTCAGCAGTTGATAAAATTGATTTTTTCAGAGCAAGCTGTTCGAAGAATTAAAACTGCTAGAAAATCCTCCTTTACAATAATAATAATCCTTGCAGTTGATATAGCACTTTTCACATCTTCTAGACGTCTCAAAGCGCTTCACAGAATATGTTGTAAAGTGAATTGATGTATATTTGTGGGCGAAACGCAGCAGCCAATTGCGTACAGCAGTGTCCCATGAACAGTCGTGGATTGAAAATAACCAATTTATTACTGTTTTTGTTTTGGAGGGATTATTATTAGGTGTGTGGAGTAAGGAAACTTGCCCAAGGTTTCGCCCTGCCTGGAATTGAACCCAGGTGTCTCGCTTGCAAGGGGAGTGCTCTAACCACTGAGCTATAGGACTCCATTAGGCAAAGGCCGGCAAGCCAATATGCTAGTGGTTCAATTATATAATCGTCCATTCATACACACACACTTCAGACACCTGATCACATGATTTTGGACTGATTGATATGCAATACTTCATTGATGCACCTTCTAAACCTCAGGGGTTTAGATTTAAACATATCAGTGTAGCAACCAAAAAGAAACGTGTATGAAAAGTAAGTAGATGATGGGTTCCCAATGAATATAATTTTATACATTTATTGGACTGAACAGTATAATTCCTGACAATTGCATGCTACTGGTTGAGTTCACTAATCATAGAGCGCATGAAAGGAATTTGCCATTTGCCATTTTAAGAATTCTTAAGCACCTCCTGAATATTGAACACAGAACGGAGATATCTGAAGCCATTTAAATTAGAGGATTTGGTATTGTAATTATCACAAAGACACGTATATTTCACTTCAACATTTAATCCTCTTTAAAAACTGTTTGTACTCCAAAAGACTTTGAAGAAAATAAGGGGGAACTAGCCAAATATTCTGTTTAGATCAGTAGAGAGGAAGGTACAACATTGTTAATCAATATGAAGGAAAATACTAGGTTATGTAGCCTTTACTTTGAAGTTGCTGATGTCAACCTTTTACAGCAGGTTCACTAAACTATCAAGAATCTGACAACTTCTGAAGGATAGACATTTGACAACCACACTTTGATTTCATATTAGGAATTACTAAAAGATCAAGAATCAAAGGAGGATTGAAATTGTGACAAATATTTAACATGACAAGTATGCACAGAACAAGTCATTATACAGCAGGACACATTAAGTCTTTTACATTTTATTGCTAAGATTATTTTCAATAATCCATCAGAAATAGTGCACTAAAATGTTACTTCCAGGAATCGTAGCTAACTGATTTCCAAAAAATATGCAAGATAAAAAGGCTGAACAATTTGCTCTGGGTTGGCTTGGTAAGGTTGTGGGTTTTAGCTCTAAGATTGTCCACAGTGTGAGTTCCCACTCTGAGGAGAAATTGTCTGGAGAACAGATGATTGGAGCCAAGAGGATTTGTGGAGGCAAAATTGAAGCTTAATTCAACCTGAATTACTTGAGAACTTGACCCACTGACC